AATGTGTCTTATTTTACAGAAAAAAACCATATGGACTGTTTGGCCAACCTAATATAATAGGATGCAGAATGAATTTGCTCTAATATATAGTTTCATATACCGTTTATAAAATTTATTTGGAATTAATACATACCCATATATCATTACTTACAGTTTTACATGTAAGTCTTCTCTTCCACAACCAGTAAGTGAAACTCTAAAAAATACCTATCTTTAGATCTATTGGAATCTCTAAAACCAAACACAGTGCCTGCACATGGTAGGTATTGATAAATGTTTTATGGAGGCCACTGGAATGGCGATTTCCTTCTGGCAGCATGTTCGTTATTGTTGGTGGCAAACACTTCTGGAGTTACACCATGCAGTGTTGGTTAAGAATAAATGCACCCCCAGTCACTATTTAATGAGCAAAATGAGCACACCCTGGCCTGTTTCCTATAGTGTAGGGCTAGTGGAACGTGTGAACATAAATTTGGTGCATGCAAGCTGTAGCCACAGAATGTGCTTCGTGGATTGTAAAGGAAGAGATTCGAGATTTAAAAACATTCTTCTCGATTCCAAAGACAGGCTGTAGTTCAAATAAAATTGTTTTTAGCATCCTTAGTCAGCTGTGCCAGACATCTTAGTACTTGATGTCCAAACATTTAGGAGTATGGGGAAAAAAGTGACAGGAAAAAAAATCCCCATAGAACTTCCTTTGACAGGTCAGAGTTTAACACAGCAAATAGTGCAGATTTCCCTTTTATTATAACCACAATAGAAAGGCAGGGCTTGTGTTTCCAAAGCATGTTGTTTGGGAGACCTTTGTAAATTATAATCTTTGGAAATCCCAAACCTATTGGATGTAATCCCATCTGTTAGATGAAGACAACTTGCCTATGCAATAGATCCAGAATAGCAAGTTAAATAGAGAACATGAACAGGAAGCAGTCGTTAAGAATTACAATGGGTAGGATGCAGAGTTAATTCATGGAGATGTTTTGTTATGAGATAATTACATCACTGGGACAGCTGGAAAGCTGAGTTCTCCGCTGGACCACAGTGCTTGCTCTCTGCCCTGCAGCTGGGGGTCAGGACAATAGAGACAGGGAGAGCATTACTTTATGGGAGAGTGAAGGCCTTTGCTGACTTAATTGTGAAATGATAACCTATCTGCCTCTTTTAAATTGTGTTTTCACAGCTAAGCTGGATTCATAGACTCAGTAAGTGCTGAGAAACCCTTTTCACTTCTACTTTTTGAACATTCACTTGGGTCACATTAAGCTAAGCTCTAAAGGATAAATAGCAAATGTAGTTTTCATTTCCTCTAAAAGTAATCTGAGATATTGTTCATATTTAACAGAGTGATTACATTTCTCTTATGGAACCACAGTCATGCAGTCATTGAAATGGTATTTTTGTTAGTTTACTGAATAGCAAAAAAAAGTTTAAAAAGTCTTGAGATATTGGTCAACACAGGAACCATACAGTTGAAGTTATTTTCCAGTGTTTATGTTCAAATGTTCAGACCTGCTTGGCTCTTGTGTTTTTTGCAAGTAGGGGTTCTAGGCAGCCTGGCCACACTCCTCATTGGTTTATATAAATATATCACAGATTGTTAACCTCTTCCAAATATCAGGGGCTTTGGTTCTTGTTCAGCTCAGTTACTTTATATGAGATTTGCATCTATCTTGTCTTTGTTGTCCACCAAAGTGACTATTATTTGATTTGGGGTAATTCCAGAGGGAGTCATTGTAGATGAAAAAGCATCATATATACTATGTTCTAAAATTCTTAAGATTTATATTTATAACCATTGATTCAAAATGTATTTCCTACCCATTATAACTAATATAACTTTAGTTTTTACTCTGATAATGTTTACTAAACAATTAAATCAAAATAAATTTATTTTAGTATAGAGCAGTATTTTCTAAAATGTCTTCTGTGGGGTACTGAGTATATAGGATGTTGATACCCAGGATTGGAACCAAAAAAGGGGACATCCTGCAGGTCCTTCTAGGACTTTTACTCCCTTGATGTCACTTGTGAATTTTGGAAGAGAATGGAATATGCTCCATTTCCCAAATGAAATTAATAATGGCACCTTAAAGAAAAGAATTATTTCCTTGAACCAGCATGAGCCACTTCTACCTCATTCTTTTCGTAGCCTAGAATATGCATATATAATTATATATATTAAAATTTTTATAAGAAGGTTCTACTCTGTGCACTGTGACACGACTCATTAAAAATTCCACATTTTAAAAATTGCAAATTAGCCCTGGCCAGCGTGACTTAGTTGGCTGGGCATCGTCCTGCAAAGTGAAAGGTCACCAGTTCGATTCCCAGTCAGGGCACATGCCTGGGTTGCAGGCCTGTCCCTGGTTGTGGCACGTGGGAGAAGCAACTGATTGATGTTTCTATCTCACATTGATGTTTCTCTACCTCTCATTCTCCCTCTCTTCCCCTCTCTCTAAGAAAAAAAAATTGCCAATTAAAATTAAGGCCTTTTGAATCAGTAGTTACAAAATAGTAACAGAGATGTAAAGTTCAGCATAGGGGAAAGAGCCGATAATAATGTAATAACTGTCTATAGTGCCAAGTGGGTACTTGAAATATCAGGGGGAACATTTTATAATGTTTATGACTGTCTAACCCCTATGCTGTACACCTGAAACTAATACAGAATAATAGTGAATATGAACTGTAATTGAAAAAATAATCTAAAAAATAAATAAAACAAAATTAGGGCCTTTTCTCAGCAAAGTGAGTCTTAATATTTTGAAAAAAGTGATATAACTTTGAGGAAAATAACTTTGGTGGGTTAGATGTCATTCTCAAATTGTGTCACACAAAGAGTGTCTGAAAACGGTTTCATGAGATGAAGCAACACAGCACACTGCCATGGCTGTTAGGTAACAACAACGGTTTGAGAGCCGGTGACTTTGGTTCACTTCATTCTCCAGTTATGTCCCTTTTGGAAATTACTAAAATGTCTCATTTATTAAAAATTCCAAGTGCAGTAAGAACTGGAGTTACTAAAATCATTGCTGACCTCAGGCAGTGATAAACACTATGTTTGCATTTAGGAAATTAATCATAGTGAATGAATGAATTTTAATGTGTATAATTAATTTTAATGGAAAACATGTTTAAAGTAACATTTAAGAAGCACAGCTGCAATGGTGTAGTTCCCTTGTTTGTTCTTGATTTTTTTGGTTCATTGCCGTTTTATTTTATTACAAAAGTAGAAGCAACAGATAGGAAGAAGCTTGGCGATTGTGGAACTCCCTTTTCTTCTAAAGGAAGCAAAAAGTGAAGCTGTCAAAGTATATGGGTTTAATGAGAAGAAGATGGTTCGCAGAAGCCTATGAATAAATGGTAGCTACCTCGAATTGCCAAATTTAAAGAGTTATTTATTGATAAATGTCGAAGGTGTCAGATCCATGCATAATAGCATTATTTTTCTTAGTATGGTACTCCGATGACTTATGGTACCATCTTTAATAAATTTACTAAGTAGGAGTTTTTACTTTATCAGAATAGTATTACAGAAGAAGGCACATTAGTGAAAGTAGAAGGCTTTAGAATTTAGGAAAAAAGTAACTTTAGAAGTAGCTTATGAAAACTTTAGCAAGCAGAACATTTGGGAGTAGATAAACGTGAGGAAGAAATTCAGGCGATCTTAGTTGATTTTAATAGCATTGTAGCGCTCACCCCAAAGTACCCATAATGAAAAATCTGGCTGTGAAGTGTGTGTGGTTGGTGGTGCTGTTGTTCACCCCACTAGATTTAACTTAATTATAGTGTTCTTTAGTTTCTTTCAAAGATTACTTTAGATTCACAGAGAAGTACCAAGTGTTGTGGGGCCTAGAAATTCAGCAGGGTGGTATAGTGAACCAGCTAGGCATTAACAATTTAACAGAGGTAATATGCAAAGTGGATAATTGAGAGTCAGCCCTGCATTTTAGTAATTGGGTATGTGCACATTTATAGTTAGTCTATTTGAAGAGTTGTATTAAATTTTAAAAATGAAAGAAAATAACATGAATAGCATTTTTTTGCCTTTGCTTAGTGTTTCTATTATATTCTTATCAAAAAATTTACTTACAGCTTGTTTGTGGGTGGTTTGTTGAATTCTTCAGACATTTGGTGAACATCTCATGTACCAGATAGTATGCTATATGTGACTGAAATTAGAAGAAAATTTGTCCTTTGACTTGAAAATTGTTTTGCTACTGAAAACTTTGTTTTTGAAACTTGAATTTTGAATGGGTTATAGGATTTTATGAAAGAAATTGAATTTGCCCATCGAAACTTGATTATAAAGTTTGTTAGTCTGTCTTTATCATTTAAGGGTGACGTAGTTTACCAGTGCAGCTTTTTCCCCCATCCCTGAAAAGAAAAGTTTGAAATCCAAAATTTTGATGAGCACCATATTTGAAATTTTTAAATAAAAACTTATGTCCTTTCTAGGGAAATTACTTGATTCACTAGGATGAGAGGGCTCTCTTAGAAATAAACCAAATTTCTCCAAATTCCACCATACTTATTTTCACAGGCATGATTGTTAACACCTTAAATTCCAGGAAAAACTTCATCGAAGAGTCCAGCATCTCCAAAGAATACTCAGTCAGTCTTTTTAATAACTCTCGAACTCTGAGCTGAAAACCATAGTTTTCTTAGGCTGCAATTTTTAACACTGTCTCCTCATCAAGTTCTACCTAAGGTCTTAACTAAAGAAACTCAAGCAGATATTGTCATGCTCAGGTTCTGCTGCTTTCTCTTTGCTACTGTGTACTTTGTCACCACTTAGCCAAATGCTCCGCTCCTGAAACTTTCATATTGACATTAAAGTGTCAGGCCCCAATAGGTATCCTTACATATTATCACAAGGAATGGTCAACACTGGCCTTCTTTTATTCCTGCTTGATCAAATCGAGGGATATGTGTAAGACATACAGGTTACTACTTTGCTTATTGCCACCTACTTAATATCTCTTTCTTTTTTCTTTTAGGTTATTTGATGTGTGCACAGTGTCACGAACAGACAGAGAAACTAAACTAACATTAGTGTTTGAACATGTTGATCAAGACTTGACCACTTACTTGGATAAAGTTCCAGAGCCTGGAGTGCCCACTGAAACCATAAAGGTACCAAGAACCAACTTTCTGCCTGGTCAAAGAGTCACACTCTCATACCCTATTAAGCAATGACATTCTTTCCTTCTGAAAATTGCCACAATTAGAGCTTTTGAAACTCAATATATAGATAAATATATCTAATATAGTGGGATGTTTACAAATGGAATGTATTCTAGTTCATTAATTTTAGGGCTCAGTGGAAAATCCTTTAGTTCTAATACATTTATTGAGAAATATCTATTTTACATTATCTAGCTCTAAGCTTGGAAATAATAGTGTAATAAATATAGCTCAGTCTTTTTCTGATGGATCATGGACCCTGAGAGATATATTTTGAAACATCATTTAGAGCACATGGAGTATTATACTAGAGTACTGACTCCAGGACATACTCCGACTGTGTAAATCTGAAATACTGCTGTTAGGCCTTTCTTTCTCCATTTTTTTCTCACTAATAAAACATTTATAGGAAGCCAAGTGCCAGGTACCATCCCAAACTCTAGGGATTCAAAGATGACTTCAGACTTTTTAGAGGTCAGCCAGACAAATGCTGTGTACTGACTAGAAACTCTTTCCAATGGAAAAAGCTGCTTAAAAAGTTTTGTTGGTCTGCCTTTGTTCTGCTTAATTGAACTCCACAGTAAATTTTTTAGATCTATGCACACCATGTGCAGATCTTCATAAAGACCCTTTTGTTTTTGTGAATTACGTAACTTAATTAAACAGACTCTTTACCTTATCATTCATTGTTTAGAAATGAATCATTTTTATAGGAATAAATAGATGAATATAGTTTATCTTCTAAACAGAGTAAGAAATGTCTTTCAGTGATAGCTGGTGGTATTCCCAGATACTGACATTTAGAACTTGATTTATTCCTTTGGTTTTAGGCTAATACAGAACTTATTTTCTCCCATCTGCCTTTCATAAAAGAAGATGGTACTCAGTAATGGTCTCTCTCATTTCTTTCGGAGCAATTTCAAGGGCATTAAATCTCTTTAAGTGTAGCTATTCCTAACTACCTGTTCTTGGTCTTCTTCTATCTTGGTGCCCACCTTTCCTCTCAAATTGTATTCTGGTGCCTTTATTCACTCCCTTTTGAGTTTGTTCAAAATCCCATGTTCCACCTGCAGGGCAGAGCATAGCCCCTCTTCACATACCCCATTTCCTGGCCACCTTGGACTAATCCCCATTCTCTTAGTGAGGCTCATGATTTCCTACCTCTGTGGCTCTCCTTCTCATTGCCATTTCCTGGATTCCCCCACCAATAATCACTGCTTAAAATTTTCAAGGCCCACCCCAGATATCATTTGATCAACTTTTATAGCTGGGTGTAATCTCATTTGTTTTATGGCCCTTCTTCTATATATCTCTCCTTCTTTATCAACTTTTCTACCTTTAATTGCAATTATTTATGTCCCTGTCTTTCTTACCTATTCGTTCATCTTTGTATTCTTCTGATGGTCCCTACACAGTGATTTATACCAGTTATTTTCAACCATTTTTAGCTCATGGCACACATAAACTAATTGCAAAAATTCTGCAACACACCAAAAAGTATATAATTTTTTTTGCCAATCTGACAAAAAAATAGGTGTAGTTTTGATTCACTTACACCAGATGGCCATTGTTATGGTGGCTGTTGCCATTTTTCAATTTGACGATCTAAGGGAAAATAGGTCAGTGCCCCTGACTAAATAGTCAGGTATTGCATGTTTTAAAAGTTCTTGCAGCACACCAATTGAAAATCGCTGATTAGTACATCTAGGTACTCAATAAATAAGATACATTGCCAACCAACAGCTTAAGCATAAACTGATAAAATAATTATTGGCTTCTTCTGATGTATTTCTAAGTTAAAATTTTTTGCTTTGGGGAGGTCATTTTTTTTTTAAGCCGCAAGAGAAGGTAGCCATATATTTATACCATACATTGCCACCTACTTAGATCTTTTGAGCTTCACATTAAATTGTTTTAGGATGTTAGAGGCTGCTGAGTTTCGGAATTGTCTGCAAAAATATCTGGTTAAATGATTGATAAGGCAGAGAGAAGCTAAACTAGGGCTTCATCTGGCAGGAATAGAAATGCAGTGAGATGAGGGTGGGCGGATTCTCGAGGGAAGGAGAGGTGAACAGGAAAATCGAGGAACAGGTAGAAAGATGCCCACCAAAGTGAGGTAAAGGAGAAGAAGGGGGTGGCGGAGCAGCCAAGCGAGGGTTGGTTGGGGGATGGAAGGCAGGGGCCGGAGAAGATGGTGCTTCTCCCCAGAAGCTTTTGACAAGGTGACTTGTTAAAAGTATTTCTGAGTTTTTCATCTATCTGCAAGGACAGGAAACGTCACTTCATTCTGTGTTGAACAGGAGATTTTCCCAGAGGCTGTTGAATTTCTTCCACCATCAGGGCAGCACCCCACTGATGCTAACAGGGACCATTTTAGCTGGTGGGGGTGGGGGGAGGGAGAGGAGCTGTGGTCATTTAAGGTTTGGGGTTAATGGTGTATTGACGTTTTCATAGTAAAATGAAGCTGTGTTCAACTGAAATATTTCAGGCAATTAATTTGTATCTTAATGGCTAATTGAATATTTTTTGCTAACCTAAAGGTTAATCACAATATCCATTTTGTCTTCATCCTTAATTTTTAAACATTTTCTAAACTATGCTAATAAACTTGTCTTCCTTATTAAATATAGGGGTTTTTTGGTAATCAAAACATTTGTGATTCTTTAAGGTTATTATTCAAAATATGAATAATCATTTAAATACACTAGAATACCATCAAACGAATAGTTTTAAGCTAACTTGTATCTTTTGTTTCTGTAACTGACTTTTTTTAACACTTGGATTGCAGGATAAACATCTGCAATTGGGTTGGCCAAAAAGTTCCTTTGGTTTTTTTTCTGTAAGATGGCTTTAGTAGTGCTCTGTTGTCTAACTTCATGCATAACAGTTTTGTTAGATTGTATTGTGACAGCTGTCGCATCAGAGTGCATTAAAAAAATTATCAAAATTGGTGAATTTTTTTGAGTCATTTTAATGTTGAAGAGGGAAGAACATAAGCAATATTTCGGCATATTATGCTTTGTTATTTTAAGAAAGGTAAAAATGCTACTGAAATACAAAAAAAAGGTTTGTGCAGTGTATGGAGAAGGTGTGTAACTGACCAAATGTGCCAAAAGTGGTTTGAAAAGTTTCCTGCTAGAGATTTCTTGCTGGCCAATGCTCCATGGTCAGATAGACCAGTTGAACTTGATAGTGGTCAAATTGAAACATTAATTGAAAACAATCATTTTATACCATATGGGAGATAGCCAACATACTCAAAATATCCAAATCAGAAAGTTCTTTGTGAAAATGAGAAATGTTTCTTTTATTTTATGAAAAAAAACCATATGGAATTTTTGACCAATCCAATAGGAGGTTCCGGCTAGTTGAGATTCTGGTTAATTAAATATTTTAAGCACATAACCAGAAAATACAAATATTTCACTGTATAGTCTCATTTGTGAAACATCTCAATAACTATGTCGAGAATATTGTTATTATGAACAACCTATTGGAAACACAGATCCTTTATATAGAATGCTTTGTGGTAATAAGAGTATTTTTCTGAGTATACTTGTACAAATATTAATTGAATATTTACAGGGATACATCTGTGCTAGGCACTCCAGGAACATAAAACTGAATCAGTCATCAACCTACACTCCAGGACTTTAGAGTATAAGGGAAGAGGTAAAGTACACACAGAAGCATGTGGTGCACATCCATGGTTATTTATATACTTTAGGGTATATTTTCAAGTTAAAAAACTTATTTATAAGTAAGCACAAAAATCTATAGCTGATTTTTTGCATTATGATACCAAAATATTTTCTAAACGGTTCTTCAAATTCATAAATACTGCTATTGACAAAGTCTGGCATATATCAACACATATCATGCTGCAAATTAATTATAGAAATGGAAAATATTTTAACATGAAATAGATACGAAACAAAATTAGAAAAGACCTTCTATCAGATCATTTAGGCCCAGGGAATTTTCTTTGACCAGCTGTCCCCTATCCTGTTTTCTGTGGCACTGTTTACCTTTTAGCCCACTTAAATTCAGGATATTCTAGTGCGAGTTCAGGACACAAATTACATTAGACGGGAAGTAGTTGGATAAAACTGGAATGCTCCGTAGTGTCTGACTAGGTATTGTAGGGGTCAAATCTTTGTGTTCAGTACTATTTTCATCAACCTGTTTGTTGGAAAAGAGCCCATCATGGGCTTATTTTCCCAGTGCACACATAGAACAATTTATCAAGTTCATTTAAATATGTTTTGGGTTTTTTTATTTTTTTACTGCTTTTTTCCATTACCATTTAACCTCCTTATACTCCCCTCCCCAATGCAATCACCACACTGTTGTCAATGTCCTTGAGTCCTTTTTGCTCTATCCCTCCACCCCCAATTGTCATCATCCTGCTCTCTATCTGTGACTCTGCCTGTGTTTTGCTTGTTAGTTTATTTTGTTTATTAGATTCCACATATGAGCGAAATCATATGGCATTTGTCTTTCTCCGACTGGCTTATTTCACTTAGCATAATGTTCTCCAGGCCCATCTATGCTGTCACACAGGGTAAAATTTTCTTCTTCTTTATGATGAGTAGCATTCCATGGTGTAAATGTCCCATAGTTGTTTTATCCACTCATCTACCAATGGACACTGGGGCTGCTTCCATATTTTGGCAATTGTATATAACGTTGCAATGAACATAGGGGCGCTTATGTTCTTTCGAGTTAGTGTTTTGGTTTCCTTTGGGTATATTCCCTGAAGTGAAATTGCTGGGCCAAAAGGCAGATCCATTTTTAATTTTTTTAGTAACTCCATACTGTTTTCCACAGTGGCTGCACCAGTCTGCATTCCCACCAGCAGTCCAAAGGATTCCTCTTTTCTCCACGTCCTCGCCAGCATTTGTTGTTTGTTGATTTATTGATGGCCATTCTGACAGGTGTGAGGTGAT